TAGTACAAAATTATAACCTCACTCAAACCCGCTACCACGTTGCATAGTCGTCAATTTCAAATCCAACAGCTATATTATGCTTTATAATAAAATAAAAAATAAAATTGTAAACTTTACGGTGTTAAGTGTCTTTACTTACATAATATGTCATACTAGACCGTAATTAACGTGGGAATCGAACCTGCAGCTTTCGATGCTGCGCTAGCAGCTAACAGTGCTAATGTCAAAAAATTATATACATATTATTATGTATATTAAGAATTTTTTTTAAAACCGCAGTATCACGACAAGTCACTCTAAGTTATATCTCTTAATTATTTGTTTCGTGTTTCAAACGCATTAGTTTTATATTGCCCTCAAAATGTGCGGTGGGCAATAATTGCGCGGTTTACGCGGTGAATTACGCCCATGCGGCTTTTAGGATTGTCACAAAGAAATTATCATTATTCACTGGAATGTAAGCTGATTACATAATGTTGAATAACTAGATGGTCTAGTGATTAGCATGTATGGCTGCAAATCTGGAGACCCTGGGTTCGAGTTCTAGTTGGGCCAATCTGATTAATGAAGAATTTCAGTAACAGCCAAAAGTTGTATTTGAGTTGTTTCGCCCTATTAACTCTGAAATAATTAGCAATAATATTTATCATGGCTTCGATCCTGCGTCTAATGTCTCACGTATCGTGTCAAATTGGAATTTGAGAGTAAAAGTAAAAGAGTTCATGGTGTATTTGTCCTATATAATATCTCCTGCGTACATAGACAGAATTTCTCATACAGTTTTCTTCATGATATTTTCTTTTATCGTGTTAGAAAGTGTTAATTAAATTAACAATAAATTCGCACATGGAACTCTCAGAAGAGCGCGTTTGAATTCACTTCACTTGACTTTCCAAGCGAGGGCGTTGGCATTGTGCTACCACTGCTTATACACCCGTAGCATAGATAAAATAAATATTTTATAATACATATTATAGTTTTTTGTTTGAGTAGTATATTACATTAATTTGAAATTGAAATTGAAAACAAGAATTTGGTTTTTTGTTATCTGAACGCGGGCGGAGCCGTGGGCAATGCTAGTCTAAAATAAAATAAACATAGTTATTTCTTTCTAAAAATATATTATTGTATGAAAAATATCATCTTTAAATTATTATTTACCTACATTTTAGCTTTATCTACGAAGTCAGTGACATAATACGACCAACGACCAACAATAACGCCGTAGGTACTAAATAAACTGTAACCACATCAGAAAAGATAAACTTCTGCTAATCCATTACAAACATTATGTATTCCATATAGGAATGGAACCTTAAAATATATCTTAATATTAAATCCAGACAGACTACTACTCCATCATAGGGGTAACACTTTCCATCAAGCTAATTAATTTTAGTAAGGCAGAACTTCTTGCGCATGTCCAATGTACGGCCAAGAATGAAAAGTAAACTGTCTGCGTTAGGCCTTAAGATAAACGATGGCATCGCAGAGAGAGTTACCATTCATCACAATTAGGAAATCTGAAGTAAAACGCATTGTATCTAGAACTAGATAAAAACTAGATTTATAAAAACAAAGTATGACATTTCTATAAAAAATTTCAACAGGAATTTTTTTAATCTATTTTTTACTGAGAACACTTTTTCCTGTATATTTTCTATACATATAATAAAATTGTAACGAAGCCGAATCTGTACATTAAATATTTTTTTGAAAATCTTATTGAAATAAACATTATAATCGATAAAGAGGTCGGATCTATAGTTTTTAGAATTTTTATCTATCTGTCTATTTGTTACCGCATCACGGAAAACCACTAGAGGGATTTTCATGAAATTTGGTATGGTGATAGCTGGTTATCCGGGTCAACATATAGGATACTTTTTACCGCGTGAAAATATCTCATTTCTGAGAAAAAAAATGCAAAAACTGCAATGTAAGAGTATACTATCCTGTATAACCTAAGAATTTGGTTTTTGGTCATCTGAACGCGGGCGGAATCGCAGAATTAATATTATTTAATTCTGCGAGTTGTGGTTGTGTTGCAATCCTAATATTTAAGAAAGAAAAGTTCGTGTAATAAGTTACACATTAAATAATACCTGCAATATTTATAACTGATGATAATAAATTAATGTCATTTACTTTAGATTTGCCATCGAATATTCGTAATTGTATATTAATGTTTGTATTTTAGAGTTCTAATAGTATGCACAACAGTTATAATAACAAAAATGGAATAGTTAAGACGCAGTTAGAAGATATAGGAATATGAAACAAAATAAACCTTATTTTCTTCATCAAATGAAGTTTTACTGTGGTGTTGTCAAAATGCAGACAGTTAAAAACTAAGTGCAAGCTGTTTACTACTGATCCGTTGCTAATTGCCTTTAGGCTATCCATCTTTTGAAGACGTTTTAAATAGCATTCACTAAAGAGTTTCTTAGTTTACTTTACGAGATTTAAAAAAAAATATGATAATAATCTATTTGTGTCTGTTGACGGCACGTTTGGCTCAGTTTGTGGTGACCCTTCTTGCGGTGCCAGAGGTTGCGGATTCAAGTCCCGCGGGGGGCATTCATTTGTATGATGAGGCACAAATATTTGTACTCCAGTCATTCGTGTTTATATTTATAATATGTAATACTTTCTTAGATTTACGCGAATATTTGACATTTTAAATAAAACTATCTTTTCGGATTATTTCGCGTATTTATTTAGATTTTTGGTTCCCGTTTCGAATGCTTTACAGCAATCATGGTCACGGGATAGACTAAGGTTATAGACGTCTCAAAGGCGGTATATACTTGTTACAGAAAGTGCCTACCCACTATTTTATAAAAAATCATATTTCAAAAATGGCCCAAAGTACCTTACAATATTTGTTGATTTTTATTTCTAAACTTTTTTTTAATAAGTATCATAATTAAATATAGCAATATTATTTATTTAATTTTATCTGTTGTTATTATAAATTGTTATTTTAAAATTGTTATTTTATAAAAAACTTTATTAATTACTAATATTATTTAGTGTTGCTATTATTATATTATGTATGTTTGACTGCCTCGGTGGTGTAGTGGCTAGCATGTACGGCTGCACACTCGAAGGTCCTGGGTTCGAGTCCCGGGTCGGGCCAAGTTTAGTTATTGAGTCTTTCTGTATAGTAAGTCTCAGTAGCAGCCCGGAGTTGGGAAGTTGGCGGTGTTTCACCCCCGTGCCTCGGAGAGCACGTAAAGCCGTCGGTCCTGCGCCTTAACTCTCACTGGTCGTGTCGAGCAGTCGTCCCACCGGAGTATGAGAGTGACAGGAATAGAGAGTGCACTTGTGTCTGCGCGTACACTTGTGCACTATAATATCTCCTGCGTAGTTGGCTAGTCTCAATGAGATTGGCCGCCGCGGCCGGAATCGGCCAGGAGAACATCATCATTATGTATAACCATATAGAATATAAAAATTAAAAACCATTAAATATTTATCTAAGCAATATTATTGTTTATATATAATTTAAAAGAAGTCAAAATATTAATATAGATTGCTATTATTAAAGTTAAAATATTAAGCAACACTTTGTCTATAAAGGTATCAATAGTGTTTTGAATTCAAAATTCCCGCATCACAGAACAATATGTTTGGTAACTATAAATAAGAATTAAAGTCAAAACTCTAATTTAACCCCAAAAATTCTCTCCTACCTTTTATTTAACAATTCAATTAAATACTCAAAGTAAATGCATATACTTCTATTACTTGAACAATTAAGTTATTATAATATTATGTAATGTTATCACGATTCAATGGATAATAATTTCAAATTAGGCCTAAATGGAAATTCGAAATCAGTCGGCCATTAGTAAGCATTATTGCCTGGCAAATGCTAAACGATACTAGATACCGCGTGTGTAGCTATATTAGCTCCCTTAGGCAATTCAAATTGTAATATTTTGCGAATGTCTAACACATATTGGGTGTTTATTTAATATATTTGTGTGTGACTTTATTTTGATGTCTTATTACCTTCAATCTCATATTTAAGTAATGAATGACAATTAAAATCATCCATATTGTTCAGCTCTATAGGGCTTTCCGTAAGGTATACTTTTTGTAACTCGAAAGCTGAATTTACGAATATACTTATCATCATCAGTTATATGAAGTTATACAGTTGTATGAAGCATAATCGCGGATTCAGCTGTCGTATTACATAAAAGTTCTTCCAGAATAGGTCTACTTAACCACTGTACTTTACATCTTCAGTGCACAAATTATCGATATTATTAAAATTATCGTTTCTAGATAATTCGATATATTATACAGCACTAGTGACTCAACCTTGTATTGCTGGGGTTTATCCCTAGGTACGTTTTAACGGTCAGTAAGGAATAGACAGAATATATTTGTCTTATATATACTCGTACATATAGGTACAAAATAAACAGCTCTGAACTTTCCGATTTTCTAGATATTTTTTTTGGTATTCCCTATTTTTTTTATACTTAAACCTCCCCTGATATACTGCCAACAAAACAAAAAAATACTTTAATTGGTCCAGCCGTTTTTGAGTTTTAGCGAGACTAAAGAACGGCAAATTATATAAAGCCTAAAGATGGATTGAATATGTCATAGAGATGCTGTGAAGATATTCATACGGAGTCTATCATTACATGTGATACGTAGTACCTATTACTGTTTTAAGGTTAAAAAGTTTTACATTGCTTTAAAAAAACCTAAAATGAATTCATTGCAATTTATTTTATAGATACCACTTATTTTTTTCAGATCAGTTAGAAAAAGAACATTCATACTCTATAATCTAAAATAATTCGTAATCACGATGATATATAATCTATGCGTAGTAAATAATTACATTATTTTTACATTAAAGTCAACCTTATATCCCAAGTGAACGATAAAATCTTCAAAATTCCGATAACGTATTATCAGATTTTTTTATTAAGTTATAATCCAGTCAGTGTAAATGTATAGTAATATCAAAAATGTTACTAAAAATATTCTTTTTAAATATTTTATGTGCTGTTTGTGCTGAAATAGTGAGTTATGACAATTTTTCACTATACAGGATATATGCGAAAAGTGAAAGAGATTTAAAATTTCTGAATGGACTTGAGGAAAGCTCTGATCTACATTTGTGGAAGTCAGCTAATAAAATCGGAGATTATGTGAGCATTATTGCTTCACCGACAAAGAAAGTTCAATTAGAGGAATCATTTAAGAACAGAAACATTAACTATGACATTATGTTAAAAAATGTTCAAGAGTAAGTAAAGCATATTTTGTTATTGTAACATACACAATATATAGAATCATCACATCTCATTGCCCATTTCCCAATTACTTAGGGTCGGCTCAGTATATCTTCCGTACTGCTAACTGGTTTTGCCAAAATGTTTACGATTGGCCACCTGCCTGACATGAACTGTCTTTGAGAATGCTGTTGCTTATTGCGCCATCGCCATCATGCAAAGAAGTCAATGAGCGATGACCAGCACAGGACTCTTATCACAGATATTTTAGTCATTAGACACCTTGTAACTTTACTTGTAGTATTAGATCTTAAGATTTTTTTATTTGCTGCGACATTTTAACATCTAATTTAAAGGTAGATAAAACTATAAAATCCAATTACACTTTCATTGGTACAGTACCTTGAGTACCTTGAGGTTAGGCGTCAGAAAGTTCTTAAATTTACTTCTCATCCCATATTTGTTACTTTTAATTATATATATGGTTAATAATGTAATATTCAAAAAATAATGTTAAATGCTTAAACTAATTAAGAATAGCAGTGGGTATAATATTTGTACTGATGATTTGGATACAAATAAAATATTGTCCTGTTTTGGTCGCAAAAACCTGGTACTACGTCGTTATCTTATAGTTGAAATAAAATATTCTTCCCAACTAAACTTCATCAAAAATAACTTTCTTTTATAGAGCGTTTGAAGATCCGATAATAAGAAGGAAACGTGATTTAAGAAATCAGTTGTTCTGGACCAATTATCAAACAATGGAAGATATTTACGCATGGTTTCAACACTTGGCAAATACTTACAGAGATATCGTTTCGATTATTCATGCAGGGAAATCATATGAAGGTATTAACATATTTTGATGTATCAATACTACAATAGCCCTATTATATATGTAAGTTGCGTCGACATATGAATCGTAAAATGAGATGGGCCCGAGTGGTCCTGAAACTACGATAAAATAGTGATTTCGATTAATGCGAGAGCTAAATGTTTGTTTTAATCCAATACAAAAGAGTAAAATCACAAAGTAGAATCTAGTAACTCACATGAGTTCATTGCTTGTACACTTCTGTCATTTATAATATTGAGCCTGTGTTGATTACTTGATGGTGAATGTGTGACTGTATAAGATATTATAAATTATTTGATTTTTATATCTACAGTTACGAAAATCAAATCATTGAATCATTCTTTCGTTAACTATTATGTAAATAATATAATTTGCATATCTGCCTCGTTGATATATGACTACTATATACGGTTACAGTTTCCAGAGTTTGAGTTCTGGTCAGGGCAAAATAGTAACTGGTTTTAGTTGCCTCGGAATAGCAAATCCGAGCTGTTGGGGCATGAATTATCCGCATGAACAGATCTCTCACACGTCCTCAGTTAGGCGGACATTATATTATATAATAATAGTCTTAAAGCTTTCAAGAAATTATAAAACTGAAAAACTAAATCTTTTTTATAAATAAATAAATTAAATAATTTAAGCTTGTTATACTTTACTATATTTTAGGCAGAAATATTACTGGTGTAAAAATATCTCGTCGTTCTAGTAGGCGCGCTATATTTATCGAAGGTGGGCAAGTAGCAGCAGATTGGTTATCCCCAACTGTTGTTACATATATCGTTGATCAGCTTGTAAAAGGTGATGACCCTGTTTTGAGACAAGCTACAGAAGACTATGAGTGGCATATCTTCCCTATACTTAATCCTGATGGACATGAGTTCACACAAAATTCTGTAAGTTATAAAGCACATAGGCAGATCATACCATTCCAAGTAGTACATAAAATATAAATCGCTATTATCGCTAATATTATATTTGCATGAAAATTGGTGTTACATTTTCAGAATAGACTTTGGCTTAAAAACAGAAGACCTACATCAGGTTCAGCTGTTGGTACTGATTTGACAAAGAATTGGAACTCACAATGGGGAGGTAAGTGTGAGCTTTACTATCGACTTGTATTTGCTAATGAAATCATGTTAATTTAATATTCAAAAGTACAAGCATTAATGAAGAAGATGGGATAAGCTCCTTATGAAGTGGCTTGAAAATTATATAACTTACTTATGTTTTGGCTCTTTTTAGTGAGAGGAGGCAGTTTCAATCCTTCAGACAGTAATTATATTGGTTTAGGACCGTTCTCGGAAGTAGAGACCAGATCTATTTCGAGATATATTGCGAACATGCCTGCTATACTATCTGCTCATCTATCCTTCAGAGCTTTTGGACAACGACTTCTTATACCTTCTGCACACACAACTTCGCATATGTACAATTATAATGAGACGGTACGTTGGATAAAAAATTTTTCGTTTAGGTATAATGTTTTAAGATTCGTTACATGAAATTCACTCATCTGGCTGTAAATAATTCTTGTATTTTGATTTTTAATTCTAAGAGAGTTTATAAAAATACTATTTTTTATAACCCACACCAAAAATTAGTAATGAACTGATTATGATAATTACTTTCTTAGTGGTCATTAGGCTACCAATTTTTTATGATTTTACAAAATATGTTATTCATTTCATTTTCTGATTGATTGAATTTCAGGTTTTAATAGGAAGGCGGGCAATGGGATCTTTAGCTGTACGTTACAATACACAATATATGGTTGGAACGTCTATGGAAGTGCATGGTAAAAACTTATATTTATTTCAGCAAAAAATACAGCTTCCTCTATATTGAACAGAAAAAATAAAGATCATAACTTAACTATGTCACATCAAATACGTTATTATCTTTTTTAATCCCCAACGCAAAAACGACTGGGTGTTATAATTTTGACGTCTCTATCTCTCTGTGTGTGTGTTTGTGGCATCGTAGCTCCCGAACGGATGAACCGATTTTCATTTTGTTTTTTTGTTTGAAAGGTGAATTAGTCGGGAGTGTTCTTAGCTATGTTTGAAAAAAATCAGTCCAAGATGGTCGCCGCCCCAAAATGGCGGATTACATATTTTTCACAACTCCCTCAATATGGGTATCAAATAAAAGGACTTGACTAGTAAAATACTATACACTATGATAAATTTCAAATCCAAGATGGCCGTCACCACAAAATGGAGAATTACATATTTTTTTAGAGGTTTTTTAGTGTGTCGGGGGTTATAGCAATATTTCTATAACCTCCGATCTGATCTGATATCTGATATCCCATTTAAAACATAGTGACATTTATAGTACTTTTAGGAACCAGAAGTGGAATAGGTTTTAAAATTTATAAAAGTAATAAATTAAATGAAGGTAATTAAAAACTACAGTTTTACAGTTTAATGATTATTTTATTTGGAATTAATTCTTTAACTTAAAACAACATTAACGATCTAAAATTATAACTTTTAAAGTAAGCCAGCTTAGAAAAATAACAAACACAATACTAGTATCAATAAATCACAAAAATTAACAGAAATAATAACTATCAAGAAACAATCTCACCGGTTCAGAAGTCTCGAGCAAAATGCCTAACTTACTTGATACAAAGGTTTATATACTTGACTTGATGAGGGTGTTTTGAAAAAAAAAAAATATATCGCGTTCCGTTTTTCCTAACACGGCCTTCCTGAGGTGGCGCCGTCCTCGTGCGCGTCTTTGGCAGCATGTGAAGGACCTGCTTCTTGGTCAAGATCATCACCACACTCTGAAAAAGAAACATGCTTTATAAGTCCTCTTTTAACAAGTTAAATGAGTCGTATTGACCACTCTCATAATGCACACTTTCAAGGCCCTTGCTCATTATTCACTTACATACGTAAAAAAATATGACATTCAAGTTTCATAATTCACACAACCATACATCATCAATTCCATATAGCAAACACAATACAAGTAACACATATTTCTAGCGTAGTTTTACAAAAATTAAGCACAACAGTCATAGGCCTCCATTACGCTTAACTGTATGGCTTCATGAGATAGAGGCCTCCATTACGCATATCTCTCATTCATACATTTGCTAGTAACATTAGTACACACCCTCGAAAAAGGCTGCACAAGTATCGGGGCACCATTCTCCTTTCCAAGGCACCATGTATTGTGCCGCTGCTTGGGTGGTTTTCCCATAAGCACCACTCAATAGTGTCAATGCGTATCGCCCGCTGGGTAAAACCTTTGTGACACGATATGGCCCTCGCATGCCAGGGTCAAGTTGACCAGTTGACTGCGTAAACTTAGTAACGAAGACAAAATCATCCACCTTAAACTCTCTGGGTGGTCTTCTTAGCTGGTTAGCGTAGCAATCTTGATACCTCTGGTTGTTGCTCAGCAATTCACATGCTCTGGTACGACTTAGTTCGCGCCAAGCTTCGCGATTGGGCTTAGTACCTTCCACTGCTACATCACGCACCAACGACCGTATTATAGGAGTTATAGCAGCAATCCCTGTCAACAAATTTAGCGCAGACGTTTGCGTAGTTTTTTGTTTAGTAATATTTAAAACCAGCTGCAGCTTCCAAAGCGTTTCTGACCATGAAGATTTTTTATGGCGAGTTTCTATGCGAATCATGTTGAGCACAGTGCGAACATAGCGTTCCACCTGGCCGTTAGCATGGTGCATTTCAGGCGTAATATAATGCACTTCCATGGACAACTCTTTTGTAAGTCTCATGAATTCGGCTGACTCGAACATTCGACCTTTATCACAAACGAGTAATTTGGGTGCCCCAAAGAGAGAGACCGTGTTAAGAAAAATTCTTTTAAGCTCACTAACATCTTGTCTATATATCGCATATAACAAACAAAATTTTGTAAAGGAATCTACAATTATTATTACAAACTTATAGTCATTTGACTGCGGCAAGGGTCCTAATACATCGACATGTAATGTATGAAAAGTCGTATCAGGTTTTTCCCACGAAGTAATATATTGCAAGGGAGCTCTAGGTGCCCTTTTGCTGGTTATGCAAATCAAACAATGCGCTATATACTTCCGAACAAACTGTCGTAAGCTAGGGAACCAGAAATGCTTTAAAATCAAGTCTATAGTCTTTTCGGCATCGATATGGTCATGTTCATCGTGAAAAATCCTCAAGAGACTAAGTCGATGCCCTTTTGGAATATAGCATAGCAATCTAGTCTCCTCTCCCACGACAGAATATCGGTAATAGAGCACATCGTTTTGATTTACGTAGCGCCCCATGTCTAAATGACCTTCACTTAACTTTTGCATTAGCTGTTGAGTTTCACTGTCAGCAGCTTGTGCAATTTGAGCCCAGTTCCTTGGTTTTTGAATATGATTAACTTGCGCTACTGGTGGGTTGCGACTCAAATAATCAGCATGAGACATCATGATGCCTTTCCTGTATTCTATTGTAAAGGTGAAGTCTTGCATGTAAACCCACCAGCGTGCAACACGTGGGAGCAGGTCCTTCTTACGTTCGGTCGATTTTAAAGCATTGCAATCTGTGACAATTTTAAAATTCAAACCAATCAAATAATGGCGATAATGTTGCAATGCTTTTACAACCGCTAAGGTCTCCAATTCGTAAGAATGGTATCTGCTCTCAGCGCCTTGTGTTAATTTACTAAAATAGGCGACTACTTTCTTTTTGCCATCTATATGGGTCTGCATCAGGACAGCCCCATAACCTATGCTACTCGCGTCAGTATGCAGTTCGGTTGCTAAGCTGGGATTAAAGATAGCAAGAATTGGTTCACTGGTTAATGCTTTAATTATCTCTAGCCGAACCCTTTCCTGTTCACTTCCCCATTCGAATTTAACATCTTTTTTTGTTAAGCGAGCTATACATGCGGACCTGACGAACATTTTCTGGCACCGGAGCATTAATGAGTGCACTTATTTTACGAGGGCTCGGCTTTACCTGACCACGACTAACTACTCGTCCTAAATATTCGATTTCTTCCGTAAGAACAGAACACTTGCGAAGATTGATTGAAAAACCGGCGTTAGTTAAGGTCATCAACACTTCACGCAACAATCTTATACCTTCTTCGATAGAAGAACTGAGTAATAATACATCATCAACATAAACAATTACTTCACCTGCATCGATAAATTTGCGTAAAGTATTGTTGATTATCCTTTGATAAACGACTGGAGAATTAGTTAGTCCAAATGGCATCTTCATATATTCATAATGGCCCTCAGGGGTCACAAAGCCTGTTTTATGAATAGATGAATCGTCCAAGGGAATCTGGTGAAATCCGGTTGCCATATCAAGACTGCTAAAAAATCTACAACTTCCTAACCTATCAATACAGTCGTCTACCAAAGGCATTGGATACCTATCCTTAACCGTTACTCTATTTAGGGCTCGGAAATCAACGCACATTCGATCCGACCCATCTTTTTTTTAACGAGGATAATAGGACTCGAATATGATGATTCCGATTCTCTGATAATTCCCTTGTCTAACAAATCGCGTATTATCTCACGCACCTTTAATTTTTCCCGATAAGACAATTTATAGGGATGGTAAACGATTGGAGTGTCGTCAGTGAGGCGGATATGCATAGTTCCCGTTTTAACAGTGGAGGTAGCAGTACCGGAAATAAAATGATCAGAAAACTCGTTAATTACTTTTTTCAATATTTCTAATTTTTCTCCTACTAAGGGTGTGCTAAATTCGGTATGTGTATTCGCTTTTACTACAGAACATATTTTTGAACAAGTAGAAGAATGTGTTAAATATTGTTGATCTTTAGTCCTCACAAAGACAATACCGTCCCTATTTAACACATCAGTGCCAATTATTATAGATGCGGTCATGTACAAAGATGGGACAACTAAAAGGTCTACTTCAACAGTAATATTACGAAACTCTATATTAAGTGTGACATATTGCTTAATAATTATTTCTCGATCACTAATGCCTTTAATTGCCACATGAGTAGGTTTAGGTTGACACGACAAATATTTAAGTACGTTGGATGAGATTAAGGAAACTTCCAAAGCTCCACTATCAATAAGAACATCTATTGCAACTCCCTGAATTACTGCTGTGGCAATATCATTGTTAAAATCAACATTAAATGACTTACAAAGGTTAACTTTCCGAAAGTCTGAACGACTTTTCGTGAAACACTCTTTCTCGGTATGCCCTAGTTTTTTACAGAATGTACAGCACAGCTTAGACACATTTTTAGATGACCTATCTTTCTGGGGACAAAAAAAAAGATTTATGCCCGCGTTGATTACAAATAAAGCACGTGTAGCTGGTTATATCGGTCTTTGAACGTTTGCTATTTGGTAAATTTTTTTGTTTAAATACCTTATTGGCTATAGGGGGCTTGTTATACACGGAGAGAAATGATACTAGATCTGTAGTCGAGAGATTCGCGTTTGCGGCTGCAACACGTACTTGAGGCTCAGTAATTCCTCGTATAATTATCTGAACTATAAGCTCTTCACTTAGACCTTTTATTATACGCAACCGTAAAAGCGTTCTTCTCGCATATTCTGCATATGTAGAATATTTATCCGAATTAGTTTGCATCGCTTCATAAAGAATATTTGCATAATCTAGTCGTCTCGGGCAAAGAGACAAAAACTCTTTCTTAAAGTTTGTCCACGACCTATCATTCGTTGACCATTCGTTCAACCATGTTTTTGCGTCACCTTTCAGAAAACCAGCCACTCGTGATAAACACTCCATATCATCCCAACGATTAATCACTCTCGCTCGATCTACTTCTTCAAACCACGCATTAATATCATGTAAAACTGGATCAAAGTTCGACACGTAATAATTTCGTGGTGTAATAATATTACTAAGAACATCTACAATATTTTGATTACAATCTGGATTCGATACTTCTACCGGCGATGTAGAAACGTTACCAGATACATTCAAATGGGGGGTAGTTGTCGATTTACTTTCGAGGGTATTTAAGCGTGAAAGAATCGAATTTAAAGTTTTATTAAAGATGCTATCACGGCTAGTAGTCGGTGATTTAGACGGGGTATAAGTTCTACGTCTGGTACGTCGTTTTCGAAGATTAGAACGCGAGCGTGATCGCGGACGCGACCGCGACCGTGATCGTACAGGGTTTCTTGAACGAGGACGAGATTGACGCAACATAGTTACACAAAACCAGTAATTAAAATTTTAAGCTGGCTCTCTCTTCAGAATAACTCGAGCAAAGTGGGAATTTACGTGGATTGTATTCCACTTCTGATTTTAGGAACCAGAAGTGGAATAGGTTTTAAAATTTATAAAAGTAATAAATTAAATGAAGGTAATTAAAAACTACAGTTTTACAGTTTAATGATTATTTTATTTGGAATTAATTCTTTAACTTAAAACAACATTAACGATCTAAAATTATAACTTTTAAAGAGAGCCAGCTTAGAAAAATAACAAACACAATACTAGTATCAATAAATCACAAAAATTAACAGAAATAATAACTATCAAGAAACAATCTCACCGGTTCAGAAGTCTCGAGCAAAATTCCTAACTTACTTGATACAAAGGTTTATATACTTGACTTGATGAGGGTGTTTTGAAAAAAAAAAATATATCGCGTTCCGTTTTTCCTAACAGTACAGTATTTTTATGTAGATTGTAATCTTAATTTTATCTAATCTTTGAGTATATTAACAAACCTTTTTATATTGATGTATACAAGCTTTAATTTAGGCCAATAAAGTATACTAATTTTATTTTTGATTTTTGTAAGTCGACCTAATTTATAAAAAAACATTTTTTTCTAGATGGTGCAACCGGTAATATGGCTGACTGGATCAAGCATCAATATAACCCTCCTGTTGTAATGACTTACCATTTAAGAGATACTGGTAACTGGGGTTATATTCTTCCTGTTGATCAAGTTCTTCCTACGTGTGAAGAGACCTATGACTCAATCTTAGCTATACTGAGGGAAGCAAAATCAATGAATGTGCTATAATATGTTCATAAAATTATGTAATAAATTATTATTGTTGTTTTGGAAAATGCAAGTTTATTAATTTATTTAAACCTTCAAACCCTTGGAATTAAGCTTTCCAATGAATTTGGGCAAGAATTCATGGTCTACGTGTTCATATTAGACATTTTCTCCGTTTTCTTTATTGGGATACGCTATAAGTGCCAATTTGCTGGGGTTTGATATTCATAATTCAGTCAGGAGAAACAATTTTGCATGCCAATAAAAGTATAATTACTTTATACGAAAAGCTGTCAGATACATTGACCGGTACATCAGTGTGGGCATTCAACTAAATAAATCCGCCAGCATATTGGATTTCCTGCCTCATTACACTAGAATGGAGAAGTTACCATTTTTTTTTTGTATTACTTATAATATTTAATTAAAATAATATAACAAAAATATGAATAATTATTAAAATATCTGAACGAATGAAAATGAAATGAAATGAAAGTTATGAAACTTAAAGTAGCGCTTGTAAGAATGATTTTGTGACATCACACGACCTGAATGATCGACATTTAAATTAATTTCTCAGGCATTTATTGATAGATTTCAAAAAAATCACTGATTTATTAGTTTTCAACCGACTTCAAAAAGAAGGAGGTTCTCAATTCGACTGTATGTTTTTTTTTATGTTTGTTACCTCAGAACTCCGTCATTTATTAACCGATTTGGACAATTTTTGTTTTGTTTGAAAGGGTATACTTCCAGATTGGTCCCATTTAAATTTCAAAAAAAATACCACCCCGGTAAATGGAAAAACAACTAATGATGAATTTAACCTACTTCTAACTGTCATATTGACTTGAAACTTTGCAAGTATTTCTATTTCCGTTGATAGTACAGTGGTTCGGTGTTGTTGACCTGATCTGATGGCAAGGCCAGAAGGTGGATAGGTGGAACTCTTCAACGGCTAATAGTAGATACTTTGAGTTTGGACTTATTTTGTTTGATTTGACAAGCCTAACACGTTAGAATCCTTACTTTGCTACTACTGTCTACACTAAAAAGGGAAAAATAAAAACTTTTTAACAAAAAAATAAAAACCGACTTCAAACAAAAGCACTAAAAAGTAAAAAATAACTGATTGGTAGTTTTCATTTACTATACATACCTAATCAAATATTTTCGAAGTCGGTGCCAGCCCATACAAAGCAAAGCACACCGACTTCGAAAAAGTTTTTGATCTATATTACATACATATTTCATTGTTAAATATGATATTAACTACATCATGAAACTATTCCAATGAATATGATAAAACAATAGATAATATTAATTAAAAAAAAACATTGTTTATTAATGGGAAATAATTTTTTAATCTATTTTATTTAAAAATTAATAAAATATAGCATGTTACGATCTTCAAAAAAGTAAAATATAATAAAACTCGCGGTACGTATAAACGGTTAGTATGGAATAGATTGACTATATATATTATATGATAGCTAATAGCCTTCCTCAATAAACGATCTATCTAATGCAAAAAGATTTTTTAAATCGTTCCTAAGACCCTGAGAGCGCTTTCAAATAAACAAACGAACGAATGAACGGACAAACAAACAAACAAACAAACTTTTACCTCTTTATAATATTAGTACGAGTATATAATAACCTTATTTAGACCCAGTTCAAATCACTTGATATTGAACTATTTATATTTTGGGTCAATAAATCGGAATATCCATCCACAACAAATGTCTGCCTCAATTAGGTAATAATAAAACTCGGTCTTTCTGTTATCACTTATCAGCTATCAGCAAGAAAATATTCTACAAATGCCATATAATAGCGTTTTTAAAATTACTATCTTATAAAGATTATATACAGACGGTGTAGCTTAAAATTAATCTACATATTATGGTATTTATATACGGTAATAAAAGAATTAATTTAAATATAACAAACTATCGCTTGAAGTATCGCTTTTAGTTGTATTGTATTTGTTACTAACTTTTGCATGCGACCTTGCTTTAATAAAGAACATGAATATATACAACACACTCAAATACCAATGTAGGTATGTTTGTAATTTTCTGGCAATCAGCTGAACAGTGTAGAAGTTCTTCTCTTTTCTCCAATTATCATCGGTGATAAACATTCAGAGATTTACGATTTTGCATGAATATTTACTAAATTCATGTACCATTACGCTTACTTAATTTATCAGTGATAGAAACAAATTTTTTAGTAATTTTTAGTAAGTCTCCTAAAATCCTATTCCGCGATTTTGAGTTTTGATTGATGTTACTTAGTTTGAATCCTAAACAAAAAATTGATTGTTTAATTGCTGTGGGTATTGTACTTACACTAACAGTATTGTATGCATTTAATATGAAACCTCTAAATACTTTTATTACAGCTAGTTAAAAGTACAGTTCATTTTGAATCAGTTCATACTAGTCTGATTGTAAAGTATAAATAAATAAAACGTAAAACCACAAAATTATTATTTTAAGGCAGTGGTAGCCCAGTGGTAACGCGGTCACTTAAGAAACCGAGTGAACCAGGTTCAAATCCAGGATCTCGCACCGCTAATATTTTCATGTGCGAATCATTTTCAACATGATTATCTTACGGTGAAGGAAAACTCCTGAGGAAACCTGCATGTCAGAGAAAACCTAGCAAGTTTTCGAATGACATGTGCAGTCTGCTAACCCCCCTTGGCCAGCGTGGTGGACTATGGCCTGATCCCCTCGTATTTAAGAGATGCCCATGCCCAGCAGTGGCACGTTAAAAAAAGGGCTGAATACATCCATACACACATACATAATACACATATGTACATTACATATGTACAGTACATTATTATTTAATTAGAAACATTAAGGAAAATATTCGCGAAAAGAACTGAGGGAAAGATCTAGTTCACTGATAATTGAATGTTTTTAATTTTAATTTTATTACCATTTATCAATGTCTATAAATTATGTTTTTGTTAACTGATAATATCATCCAGTTATTGCTTAAGGGCATACATACTGAAGGTGCTCAGTCTTTCGAATGTTTCTAAATCGGATTGAATCTGTAAAATGAATTCAAAACATACATTTTTATTTTTTATTTCTTTTACATATTTTGGTTTGGGTGAGGCGTTCCGATATGACAATTATACACTGTACAAAATTTTACCCGAAAATGATGAACATATTAAAGTTCTTCAAAATGTGCATAGTTCAGATCTGAGGTTTGATTTTTGGATTGAGCCTGCACCGTCAATGGATTTTGGGATGATACTTTCGAGCCCTCAAGATAAAGACGATTTGGAAAACATTTTGAAGAAACATGAAATAAAGTATGAGATCAAAATGAATAATATTCAAGAGTAAGTAATATTCAACTTTTTTATAATTAATTAATAGATGGATCCCACAAACATTCCTTGAAGTTTCGAAATGGATTCTAGTATAATTGTTATTGTAGGTATAACACAGTTTGCTTCTTTAATATGTTTTCAAGATATTTAATATATTAAACTTAATATACAGATGTGCAAGTCCTATTAACCACAAAAATTTAAAGTTACGTTTAAAATAAAATCTAAAAAATATATTTAGAAACGTTATCTTGAATATCATTGACGTGAAAAAAGAAACAGTAGAAATACGAAAACTTAATACTGTCTTGATTGAATTATTTAATAAAATACTAATATATGCTGATAATAGCTACATTTAACCATGTTATTAAATCAAAAACTTTTTTTAGGGCTATCGATAAAGAAACAGTATACAGAAATACCCGAAATACTAACAATTTGACGAATATGCAATGGAATGTTTACTATAAGTTAGACCAGATTTACAGTTGGCTTGATCATTTAGTTGAAACGCATCAAAATGTAGCTAGTATTATAATCGGTGGTCATTCATACGAAGGTCGGGATATCAAGGGTATTCGGATATCTCATGGCGCGGGTAAAAAAGCTATATTTATTGAAGGTGGTATTCACTCTAGAGAATGGATTTCTCCATCAGCCTCTTGTTATGTTATTAATGAACTTTTACATAGTACTAATTCTGATATAAGAGCAGCTGCCCGAGAATTTGACTGGTACATATTTCCCGTAACAAACCCTGATGGATATGTTTGGTCCCACGAAGCGGTAGGAAACATTGCAAATATTACATTTCTTGTATCCTCTAACAAAAAATTCATTGTAACTTTTTGTTCTATTCAGAATCGTTTTTGGCGGAAAAATAGACGGCCGGTTAATAATCATTTTGGAATTGATTTAAATAGGAATTGGAACAATAATTGGTTGGGTAAGCATCAATTTTTATTAAGCTTCTAAAAACATAAATGATTTCAAGAAAGTAAACAAAAATATTTATACTTTGGTATTTACTTTTAGATTATACAAGCAGACAAAAATCTAGTAATTTAAATTAACAACTTATTTTGATAACTTTATTTTAATGTTTTTTAGTGGTTGGTTCGAGCGTGAATCCGGCATCGGATACTTATGCTGGTTTGGGACCATTTTCTGAACCAGAAACACTATCTTTGTCGAGATACATAAGATCAATGAGCGACAAAATAGAATTATATTTATCAATACATTCATTTAGCCAACTTCTACTTTTACCGTTTGGAAATTCAACCGCCCCTTACGCAAATTACCATGATGCTGTAAGTAACAATATATTGAAAGGAATACTGAAAGAAGATGCGTTTGACCAATCGTTTGACGTTATCTACTTACAAATTTTAATCTAGAAAAAAAAGCGGAAATCTACTTCCAAGATTGGATCAAAATATTTATTATGCATTACAAGTAAAACTAATAAAAGTGTGTTAATAATCATAAAATATTATAATATGTATGAAAGCATAGTTCATACCTGAAACAAACTTTATGTTTTATCATTATAGTTATCATTTTTCCTACTTCCTATTATTAATATAGTATGTGTATTAGCAAAAGTAATTTCATTTCAGTTAAATATTGGAAGGCGTGCAATGGGTGCATTATCTGTTAGATATGGAACTCAATATGCTGTAGGAAATATAGCAGAAGCCATATGTAAGTTTTTATACTAAATTCCACAATTTACTAAAAAAAGTAGTTTAAGCTGCGTTACTCTTAGAAACTAGATATTCAAGACTTTCTTTATAAATCTGAAATCTATAGAGAACAAAAACAGATAAAAATAAAATTAAAATTTTAGTCTTTATAGCTTTTATTTAAACGCTATGACTTATTCACCATTTACATTTTTAAGTGTTAATGATATTAGTTTTTTGATTCTTCACACATGAATTTGGATGTACATATAAAAACAAAATATTTTTTTCAAATATTTCAGATCAAGCTAGTGGAGGTAGTATAGATTGGGTAAAAGAACATTTACAAGTACCTTTAGTCTATTGCTACGAGCTTCGTGACCGCGGTGAGAACGGTTTCGTTCTTCCCGTCGACCAAATCTTACCCAATAACCAAGAATTCATGGACTCAGTAATTGAATTGATCTATCAGGCAAAAAGATTCGGATATATGAATAATAATGCAAATGGTGTAAATGCGCCCATTTTGATAATTGTAGTAATAGCTATTGGTGCTTTATTCAGAAATTAATTTTCATTATGTCTTATGTAAATAAATATCATTACGTTAAATCATCATCATCAATGTAATATTTATGTTTTTTTTTCTTGGCCATCATTAATCAATTTGGGTCACTTAAAGTACAACGCAATTTAAAATGATAAGATACTAAGCTGATATATCTTTCACCAATATTTGTAGGAAAGTGACAGCTCACAGTAGACTGTAGTAAAATTTTAAATGGCTGTATAATATTTTAATTCATATTATAGCTGTTTGATATATAAGTTTAAATTAAATTTATAAATATAAAAACTTTATGTATCCCGCTGGCCAATTTTATCCCGCGACAGCATATAAAACACTTTGAGGAATGCTGACTTTTTTGTTTAAGAAATTTTAGGCTAGAAAGAAGTAAGGGTAAAATAAAAAGACAAAAGCAAGCTTTACACGCACGTGATGGCATGACAATTGTTAGTGATATTTCTAAAAATCTAAACTGATTTAATAATACTTTAAAGATAAACAGTTAAAAATTAAATAGAAAATTCTGGTGACAATAAACAGAAATACAGTGTTACAAGAATACCATAAATGGTCGGAAGCAAAACTGCGTGAATCACCTAGTTTTTTTTTATATAACAAAGACGAACTTCAAGTGATACTATTACTCTAAAGTAACGCTTGTCAACCATACAGATTTTTGGGCAAATTATTTGGCATTATTTGGAGTGACGCATAGGCTAATTAAGACGAGGGTACGCGAGAGACATTACTCCCTCCAAACTGATGTAGGATTGCGAGACTCATAGTAAAGTTCGAACAAAATCAGATACTTTTAGATTTGCAGAAATGGATGGATTGTAAATAATTCACATTAGGATAGCCGTTGTGCCTCACTCGTTTCTTTTCTCAAACTCTCTCTCGTCAACGTCAAGTCGTTTTTTTTCGTGTTCTTTCAAAATGTTTTATATTTTAATTTAATTATAAGAACAAAGAGTTTTTTCAATTGTATTAATTAATAATATAATACCATATTTTTTGATGATTACATGATACTCTCTTAGATTAACGCGACCATTTGATATCTATCTGTATGTACATAAATAAAAATGAATTACCGAAATATATGTACACACATAACTTCCGATCGACTGCACCTAATTGGATAATTCTTTTTTTGTGTTTGTTATTGTCAGAAGAAGTTTTGTGTAGAAGGAAAGTAAAAGATTTTTTTTTACTAAAATAAGATTTTTTTAAATCTCATGATATGAAAATAGTTTATTAAAATCGTTTTTATCCCGGAAATCATCCCTTAAGGGTGTGAGAATGGGAATGAAAGTTTGTATGGGGAAGCAAGCTAGAGACGAACCCGAGCGAAGCGAAGATGAGTCGCAAGTCTATACAGATAAATAAAATGTGAAGTGTCTGTTTGTAATGTTAAAATAATAGCTTTTTACTAAATGCGTATTAAATACGGTATTTATAGGAAAAACACAATTTTTATTTTTTTGTCTGTCTGTCTGTTTGTTCCGGCTAATCTCCAAAACGGCTGGGCCGATTTTCCCTGGCAGGTAGTTGATGTTATAAGGAGTAACTTGGCTACTTTTATTTCAGTAAAAGAATTAGGGTTTCGCACAAAAAAATTAAAATGTACCTAGGGACGAACCCGAGCGAAGCGAGGGTGAATCGCTAGTTATAAAATCTCCCCTCTTTCCATGGTTGCAGTAAGGCATTCGAAACGTCGGAAACCAAAATTCTAAAGAATTACATACTTTATAAAATATAAAGCCTATCACGAAACTTTAATCAAAATACTACTAAGAAATATAGTACCTAGTTATTTTATAGATAAAATTTATTATTATTATTATTTTTGTAGAAAAAAAATTGCTCATTTTATATTATAAGATTAGATTTGTCATTGATGTTTTAAACTGTACTCCACTGAAATACTTTAGAGTCATCATAAATAAAATATACGGTCTATGATAAATATGGCAGTTAAGTTAATAACTTAAGTACTAGAACGCGCTTTTTCATAGCTTTTGTTGGTGATATTTAGAAGAGAACCTGGGCGACCGAGCTTCGTTTGGCGTTTTTATTTTGTTTTTTTTTCTGAAAAAGATATAAAAAATTCATTCGTTTCAGAAAATATACTAATATATGTATAGATGAAAAGCAAAACCATATCTAAATACATAATTTTATTAAAGGTAAAGCAGTTTTCGAGATACACGAAATAAATATACAAGAATTGCACATTTAATATCATAAAATAAAATATTATATAAAATATAATTATGTTGGGACCTTAATACACAGCACCATCTAGTTCCATGGTAAGCTACGAGGCTTGTGTTATGGATACCAGATAGTTGATACACTACGCATATATAACTTTAAATACATACATATTATAAATATAAGCAATTACTGGAGTACAAACATTCGTGCTCATCACACAAATAAATGCCCCCAACGAAACAGAAACCCGCGACCATTGGCACAGCAAGTAGGGTCACTACGAACTAAGTCAAACGTGTAGTCCAATTAAACGATAGACGTATTACTACTATGAAGCTAGTACATTTTTCTCCTCTGTTTGTCAACCAATTTTTTTGTTGTTCAGAAGCTATTGACAAGTTTTAGTGTTGTCAATAAAAAAAATTAGAAACATTTAAAAAAAAAATATGGCAATCTCGACCTCTAAGCCAACAGTGTATAAGTAAAACCGCTATTACAAAGTTATATGTACCTATTGTAACATGAGGTAATATGATTTGTAACGAGCATAATATATAAGTATAGATATTACATTAGATTATAAATCGAATATGTATTGATTCGACAGTCTCTCGCTTGGTCTCGCAAGTGCAATACGCGCTTCAATAAACGCTTAATATTAAAGCCTTATTATTTTCTCCTCACGTCCGCCACATATTGGTGACCCCGACTGAAAAACAACACCTGACTGAAGATAAAATATACGATGGCTACCAATTCTAAACCAGTCGTACAAGCGAAGGAAAATTTACGTGAAGATTCAGAATTGGCAACAATCAGCGTATCATCGCGAATACCGGAATTTTGGTGCGACCAGCCGCGATTATGGTTCGCCCAGTGTGAGGCGGTGCTAGCTTCTCAAAAATTAGGCGATGAAGCGAAGTTTAACTTGTTGCTTCCGAAATTGGGCAAGCAAGTCATCGAGCAGGTTAGCGATATTGTGCTTAATCCACCAGGAACACATAAATATGAGACCTTGAAAAATCGTTTGCTCGCTGTTTACGAAGAGTCGGAGAACCGACAGTTCCAGAAGTTGCTGGGGGAAATGGAACTTGGCGATCAGAAGCCTTCTCAGCTTCTTAGGCGAATGCGGGATTTGGCTCGTAATAAGATACCTGATGAAACGCTGTGTATCATGTGGCAAGGACATTTACCCACGTCAGTTCGAGCGGTGTTGGCAGTTAGCGAGGTAAAGGATCTAGATAACCTTGCAGCTATCGCTGACAAAATTATGGAGACCACGAGACCTTTACATGCTGCTGAAGTAAATTGTCAAGCTGAAAAATCGGATGATACGTCATTTCTTATGTCACAAATAGCCAAGTTAAGTGTGAAGGTCATGGAACTTGAAAGATCGAGACCAAGGTATCGAAGTACTCGATGTAATTGGAGGCGACGTACTACATCACGCGGACGTTCAGTATCCGAACAACGACGCCGCAGGTCCGAATCATCGAAATGGCTATGTTTCTATCATCACCGTTTCGGCGTTAAAGCAAAGAAATGTGTTGAGCCATGTGCTTGGAAGGAGCAGCCGGAAAACTAGACAAGGTGCAGCCAAGGGTGGATGTCTGCACCATATCGCCGTTCCACCGTTTATGCGTAACCGACTGCAAAAGTGGTTTACGTTTTCTTGTGGACACAGGTGCAAATATTTCAGTGTTACCGTACAAAAAACGACTCTATGACAATGTAGTTAGTGATAAATATAAACTTTATGCAGCTAATGGCAGTGAAATAAAGACATATGGTGTTAAATCGTTAGTGTTAAATTTAAATTTACGCCGACCTTTTCGGTGGACTTTTGTGTTAGCGGACGTTAAACAGCCAATATTAGGCGCAGACTTTTTAACCTATCATAAGCTTATAGTAGATTTATATCGTCGTCGACTTATTGATCAAATAACAAATATAGATACTATAACATCGATAGTGCAACACGATGAGTCATCTATTACTACGTTGGATATAAATAATAAATATTACGACTTAATGTTAGAGTATCCCGATATAACGAAACCTATTTGTTTCAAAGATACACCAAGACACTCTGTTGTTCATTATATTGAGACTACAGGACCTCCTGTATTTGCGCGACCCAGACCTTTAGCTCCGGACAAATATCAGAAGGTAAAATCGGAATTTGAAATCATGCAAGACGTAGGCATATGTAGACCATCGAAGAGCTGTTGGGCAAGTCCACTCCACGTAGTCCCGAAAAAGGATGGTGGTATTAGACCATGTGGTGATTACAGGCAATTAAATGCCATCACTAAGCCTGACAGGTATCCGATTCCACGCTTACAAGATTTTACATATTTACTTTCGGGTAAAAAGATATTTTCGAAGATCGATATAACACGTGCCTATCATTTCATTCCCATCAATAATGAAGACATAGAGAAGACAGCCATCACTACGCCATTCGGTCTTTTTGAGTTCCCAAGGATGACGTTTGGGCTAAGAAATGCAGCTCAAACATTTCAGAGATTTTTAAATAACGTCGTACTTCAAAATCTTAATTTTATTTTTGTATATATCGACGATGTAATAGTAGCGTCGAAATCTGAATCCGAACATAAGGAACACCTCAGACTAGTATTTGAGCGATTTAATAAATATGGCTTAACTATTAACACTTCAAAATGCAATTTTGGGCAGAACGAAATAGAGTTTCTGGGATACCACGTTTCAAAAGATGGTATTAAACCCTTAGAACAACGAGTTAGCTCTATAATTAA